AATTCATCATAATATTAGTCCCCAAGTATCGACTGAAGAAACGAATCACCACAGCACAGCACCAACTCAATCCAAACATCGTGCACCCCACAATAGTGCTAAAACGTGTTTATCACGTACCATTGGTCACGTGATCTTATCATTGCACGTGCATTCGATCGCACATGTTCCCATCAACTCTACAAAATGAAAAAAAACGCTTTAAACAGCCGATTCCTATGCCGCGACTCTCAAATGTGAAGCATGAACGTGCCGTTGGCATGCTGGAAGCGGGAACGTCAGTAAGTGACGTTACAAGGTCAATAGGGTGCTGCCGGAGGACTATTTATGGTTTACAGACTCGACTGCAACAAACTGGCTCCACCGCTGATCGCCCTAGGCAAGGTCGACCACATGTGACGTCACGTGCGGGGGGACCGTCAGATTGTGTTACGTCACCTCCGTAACCTTTTTTTGACGGCTACAGGAACCAGAAATAAGTTGTTTAGTGGTCGATCGTCGGCACAAACCATCCGACACCGGCTGCGATCCTTCGTGAACCACTTTGACGCCATTACATCGACGCCAGCGTTTGCTGTGGGCTCGATGACACCTCCGATGGACTCAGAGAGACTGGAATCGAGTTGTCTTCAGTGATGAATGAAGATTTACCCTCAGATTCGCTGATGGTAGGATGAGTGTGTGGAGGCAACGCTGTGATCGTTATGCTCAGTGTTGTGTACAGGAAGTGGACAGATTTGGGGCGGAAGTGTCATGGTTTAGGGTGCCTTTTGTGGGATTGCCCGATTGCAGGTTTTCGCGACCAGGTGCTAGCCCACGAACTTATTCCATTCATGGCAGCACATGGTCCAGGTCTGCTGCATTGCAATGCCAGAACCCATACAGCCATCTTGACGAGGAATTACCTGCAGAACGCAGGAATCAACGTCCTTGACTGGCCGTCAAGGTCACCTGATCTCAATCCAATCCAGCACATCTAGAATGCTCTTGGTAGACGTCTGCGCATTCTCAGGAATCAAACCCAGAATTTGCAGGATCTTGGTGCTGCTTTGCGGGAACAATGGTGCCGACTCCCCAATAACGTATTTACACTCATCAGACAGTCCATGAGGAGGCGTTGCTTGGCAGTTGTGAACGCACGGGGTGGCCATACACGCTACTGAACGTTTGAAACATCAGATTTAATTTCTTGTGACTTGACACTTTGTTTACGCATGTTTTTATAAACTCTGTAACCACATGGAACCGTTTTTTCTAGTTTCTAGTTTGACTCTAGTATACAAGCATACACGTCTCGCTGTCACAGGACCAAAATCTATATAGTATACCATTGAATAAAATAAAACGTAAAAACAGTCAAATGTACATGATTTGCGTCCGTTTCCTATCTTTGTGCGCACATTTACTATGACCGGATTTGCAGACATTTCCAAGCATGAATTCCAAAGTTGATACCTCAACAAATGCTTGATCATACTACACATTTTACAATATATTCCTTTAATGGTAACAGGCGTATAAATTTCTAATGTTTTCCAAGTTTACTTGTGTTGGAAAAATCAATATTTCCTTTGGTGGAGGAACATTTTTAAGTATGTAATTTTTCAAATGTTTCCTGCCTAAGAAAGTAATGCATCTCCCCGGATACCAAGGGTATGTATCTATATGTCCATATATTAGTACTAAAGGAAATGGTAACTGGAAATGTGGACTGCTAACTGACATACGGAACTACTAGCTACCATAACATGGTGTGTAATATTACAGATTGCTTAGTAACACTACATACAGCTAGCTTACACTACTGACTGCTAACTGACATACGGAACTACTAGCTACCATAACATGGTATGTAATATTACAGATTGCTTAGTAACACTACATACAGCTAGCTTACACTACTGACTGCTTACTGGCAGACGGAACTACTAGCTACCATAACATGGTATGTAATATTACAGATTGCTTAGTAACACTACATACAGCTAGCTTACACTATTGACTGCTAACTGACATACGGAACTACTAGCTACCATAACATGGTATGTAATATTACAGGTCGCTAAGTAACACTACATACAGCTAGCTTACACTGTTGACTGCTAACTGACATACGGAACTACTAGCTACCATAACATGGTATGTAATATTACAGGTCGCTAAGTAACACTACATAAAGCTAGCTTACACTACTGACTGCTAACTGACATACGGAACTACTAGCTACCATAACATGGTATGTAACATTACAGGTCGCTTAGTAACACTACATACAGCTAGCTTACACTACTGACTGCTAACTGACATACGGAACTACTAGCTACCATAACATGATATGTAACATTACAGGTCGCTAAGTAACACTACATACAGCTAGCTTACACTGTTGACTGCTAGCTAACATAGTGAGATGCCAGTTAGCATTCATGTATCAGGCAGTGAACATTCTTCCTCTATCATAGGCACTAGACAACGCGGACCATTGTACAATATAGGAAGAATCCCGGCCTGCCGCGTGTTGATATATATAAGTGGACCATACATGTACGTATAAGGAATACCAGGAATATCAATTCAGTCATCCAAGATTGATGAAGAATTCCTTGTCCTCACACCGACGCTGGGTGTTATGAATCGCCTGACACGCGTCAAAGAAATGTTCTGCTGAGACGTGACATAAGTGAGGCAGTGAAGTTGACAAGCTATTTCAAAAACTGGAGTGAACACCGATATAGATGAATGTAATTTTAGGTAATCAAAAGGGAAGAGCAATCGATATCTCTAAACTGTCCATCAGGATCCTGAGAATAGCCGTGTGGTATGTGTCTTTGTCAAGATGAGCGGTGAAACATGACATGCTGTTGTTTGTTTTATCTTTAAACAGTATTTCCTCTCCCCTAATGTAGAAGGGTGTCAGTTTGAGTCAGGTTCTGACGGATGAGTATAGAAACATGAGACAAATTAAATGTATGTGCGGAAAGGCGAGGGCTGGTGCTACAGGTGAGAGAGAACATATTCAACACTTACACATGGGCTCATCTGGTCCACGATGAGTGTTTTACTTCAGTCTTCATAGTTCCTTTGTCTCTCGTGTTTACCTTTATCTCTAATGTCATACAGATGAAACGCCTGGTGCTACAGGTGAGAGAGAACATATTCAACACTTACACATGGGCTCATCTGGTCCACGATGAGTGTTTTACTTCAGTCTTCATAGTCTTCATAGGTCCTTTGTCTCTCGTGTTCGACTTTATCTCTAATGTCATACAGATGAAACGCCTGGTGCTACAGGTGAGAGAGAACATATTCAACACTTACACATGGGCTCATCTGGTCCACGATGAGTGTTTTACTTCAGTCTTCATAGTCTTCATAGGTCCTTGTCTCTCGTGTTTAACTTTATCTCTAATGGCATACAGATGAAACGCCAACTAAATACTGTCTTCAGGCCTATTACCAACAGAGTCAATAGTATGATTCTCACAGTAGCACATGCATGTGTTTTTTTAATCACATATATGATATTTGCTTTCAATATAGACAATATTGACCGGAACATTTGAGCAGTGACAAATACCCATGGATCAATTCATTATTGTTGGTGTGATGGTGTAATTAATTCTGTATAATTATGAAACTTTTTAGAGATTGCAAAACTTCAAGCAAATCACGTTTTTGAGAACGGTATTAATTCTACTTGTGTCAAACATTTTGAAAATGTAAAGAAAATAAAGAACGTCCCTACTTTATCGAACATACTGGCCTGATATGTTGCATATGCTGCATTGACATACTGGTTTTACAAAGTTCTATCATTGAGATTACCAGAATGCATTCAGCTCGTCACGGCTCGGTCAATATCTATAATACAAGATATGTTTATCATCCCAAAACAATATGAAATGATATATCCTCTGTACATCAGTGATGTCATCAGTGAGTAATCCAACAATATCACGCACAGGATTCGCAGGATAATTATTGTCAACTTAATATTTAATTCTGAAAAAAAAATCAATTACTACAGAAAACGGGGTTTTTTCACTTCACATGGCCAACATAGCCTTTCCACCCTGTGACATTCCCCCAATAATTTTCTAGCTTTGTTCGCAGCAGGTTTTCCCATTTCCTACTAGAAAAGGTCACTCAGTGTTTACTTCACGACATTGTGTACGACCCTGTAAACCAGCGCTTCCGGACAGCAACTATTAATCCTTTATGTTTAACCACCAGATCAGGTACCCTTCCATCTGAGAGGTCTGGTTTGAGAATCAGGTTACCTGCTATAACAGGGGACTGGAGACTCAACACTGTTCAGGCTCAACTTAAACACGGTGCAAGAAGAACGACTCACCTACAAGCGATGGACAACTGTACATGTATGTATTAAATAAAGAGACTATTTCAGTGTATAATGGTTACTTCAGGACTAAAATAGCTTACATGATCACATTAGATATTCACTTTTGGGGAAGTTGTATGTTTGCACTCTATAGAAGCGCTTTTATTTCACTTATTAAGATAATCCTATGTGGTGCTGCCTTCATTAATCAATGTGCGTCAGTTAACATTTCTTCGACATTTTCACCCGTAGATAATTGACAGGCTGGGCGGGTTTTTAACTTAAACTCTTTCCGTGCCAAGAAAATGCAAGGGTAATATTGAGTCCATATAGTGTTATCCCGTGTAGGAGATGGGGCTCCTTATTGGACACCCTAATCTGCTACTAAACCCTTCCGATCCCGCCTGCCCCTATGATCCAGCTTCATTTAGAAGCCTAATGCTGTGGAACACATTTATTTTGCAGCCTGATTTGCTTATCCAGGGAGCACGTTCATCCGCCCAGTTCCAACCTCGGTCAGAGTGGCATCTAATTCGTTATGTTTTCAGGGACCGCCGCGTTCCTGACGACCAGCATCGTGGGACGATAATCATCGATTGCACGCGCTGACGCGGTCACGTGATGTGACGTCAGAGCTATCGTTACCTACCCCGTTTCATTTGAGTGTACGACTGTGTAGGCGTAGGCAGGCGACCCCGATGAGGTTGACTATAAAGACATCACAATTTCTAGCGTCGGTCCTTTATCAAGTCGTACGATCCCGTGATTAAAGTTATAGGCAGACACATAACGGATAAGGTAGGTGCATCTTAAACTTCTGGGAAGTGGCATTGTTATTGAGAACAGAGAACTCTCTCATTGTTTATCAATGGAGTTTACAGAGGACTCTCTAAATGTCATCTACTTCATTTTAAACTTCTTGAAGCTTAACAAATTTGTTCACCTGATACAAGATTGAAGTGTGCATTTTTGTGCTTTTATTGTTAATTTCAATGTTGCTTTTTGTTATTCTGTTGCTTTTCCTGTGGTGTTAACGCGGTCTACAAAGTAGGCCGTGCGGTGACGTTATATAAGGTGTCTTCGTCATGTCATTATAGAATTAATCAGTTGATAGAGTTTATGCTATGGATATCTTCGTGATCAATAATCATGTTAAGGATTTTTTCTATCCGTGAAAAAAGCACCGCGTGCTGTCTCCACTAATTAACAAAAAGTGCAATGGCCTACCAATTGGTTGTAAGTCACCTAAAAGTGGAACCCGCTCATCCCGTCCACTGTGTTTCAAATAACTGGATCGCTATTAAATACATGTATAGGATTATCTCTAAACACCGGATATTCCAAGGAGCACTCCATACAGATTAAAACAGGCCTATGACACAGCTCACTGGCACCGAGACATGAATGTGTCTGACTTCTAAATGAAATATGTCACTTTGGGTTGCATCAATTTTGTTAGAAATCAGGTTAATATTTTAAACAGTTAATTAGTTACTGTATGTTGACTAAGACACGACGAACTGAAACACGGTGCCTGTTTATTAAGCCGTCACCAAACTTGGTGGGTATATATCTGTCAGCTGCAGTTATTGGCGTCAGTTGCTTCCGATTCATAATTCTTATGCAAAAAAATACCCTCAGTTTTTGGCTAAGCATTTTATGCGGAATATGAATTATTCGCGTATGTTCCTTGCGCTAAGATATAAAACTGCCAGTATGATTTGCATTGACTGGGATGTTCCAGCGAAATACAATCAGATGTCAATAACTACTTCATACTCGTCCGTCCGATGAAATAGGCAATACCGGCGTGGTGAAGAAACACTCCAAGTCTCGGGGATAGTCTTCAACATTATGGCGTGAAACTAACTAGTGATACTGAAAAATATAAATGATATATCCACGAAGTATTTATATGTTTGGTGGTGCTCCAGAGGTGTTCTGGAAGGTGAGTGGCTCCGGGGTGTTCCGGAAGGTGAGTTGCTCCGGGGTGTTACGGAAGGTGAGTTGCTCCGGGGTGTTCCGGAAGGTGAGTTGCTCCGGGGTGTTCAAGGCAATGCTATGTGTGATGAGGGACATGTGTACAGTTGGAATGCTTCTGTCAAGTGTTCCAGGCACCATTGCTTGTGTAGGTTTTAATCGATTTAAACGTGTAGTAGCAGGAGTTATGTCGCACAGGCACACTTACCTGACAGGATTACATACCGCCCTCCAGCAATTAATTAGATGAAAAGGACAAAAATCTCAAAACGATATTTTAGATTAAATACGCGTTGTATGTAATATCAAATGATAATTTAAACATATGATACCCGAGTCTCAAAGAAATCAACTGAAAACGTCCACAAACACAACTGCTATCATGCTTAAAATGCGACGTAATTAGACTTTTAAAATGTATGGTACAGCGTGTCCTTTGTTACATATCTAAATTTACAAATATTCAATAGAAGAACTCATTAACTTTGCATTCGTGAAATATTCCTTTCGTGTATTTGTTTTACCTCAACAGATACAAACATTACCGTGAACATGTTGTTAACATACCACTATAGTTTCAATACATGGCTGTTAAATTTTGTCGTCACTTCAGATCGATACTTGCAAACACTGCATGTATGACAGCAAAATATGCAATCAACACTTCTGACAATTATGGCGCTTGAAGGTGGTGTTTCATGACAAACTGTGTTTCTGTAGACTGTCCGATAACAAAGTCTGCATTGAGTAATTCCGGCATGTGGAGAATAAACTGTAATTTCTGACAACAGTTGTCGAGCTACTCACTTCAAAATTCTTTGGTATTCAGTTTGCAGTTAAAAGACTTTCAGGGACATATTCCAGTCAATCCTGATATGTTTACCATGCTCCACCCTCATATAAAAGTATAATCTGAAGTTACCTGTAGGTATTCCAGTAAGTGGCTCCCAGCACCCTTTATATTTAGCGGCAGGTAAGGCGACCGGGGACTCGGTAGACACTGTACTGGGTGGGTCTTTGATTTGTCCGTCTTGATGGGTAGAAAGTCACAGTTATATAGTTGTAATATTGACTTACACAATATATAACGCTGTATTAACTAACACGATCTAACTGAAATGTGTACACAAAAGAAAACATATTAGGTAAAGAACAAAGAATATTCACAAGACTCGGGCTGTCCTTCTACATGTTTTATTATTATTTTCAGGAAGTATTTACTTTACTTCTCTCTGAACTTCTCACTTCACTTGACCTTTTAGGTCATGGAGAAGTATAGTAAAGACTTCTCTAATAGAGATAGCTAAATTCGTGTCTTGGGATTATTTTTATTAATTCATAATGCTGTTTTAGGGTTATAAACGTCAGCTATTTACCACTTATACGTCGGTTACAGGTTATTAAAGTTCTGTGTTCGAAGAATACCTTGAGCTTTTATCTGTTGTGTATTTGGGAGATAAACATACTGTGTTGGAAAATCAGATGTATAAAACGAAATCATAATAGCTCTAAATTGTATTTAAAATCTCACCCTTGTTTCTCATGCATCCAAGCTATGAAGAAGACCTTATCAGTCAAAACGTAGAAAATAATAGGTTCTTTCGAATAATGTTTGTTTGCACGTGAGGTCAGTTGTCACAGATGTTAAAAACTTACCAGAAAACACTAATGTGTTTATGTTATTCCTTGCTTTGTATGTCTTGGTCGTGGTCACTGCATGTCAAGACCCCGATTTACCTAGTCATATAATCTGACTCTGAATACGTCACTTCACTCCAGAGCCGCCGATTGGAAAGATTTCTGTAATTTTCACGTTTCAATCTACTCTTGTAATATGCAAGGGAGGACCTCTCCTAAGGCACTCTACCTAACCCTGTAGTTTACACTTGGAATAGGGGAGACCTAACATTTTTTACTTAACTTGTAATTCGATACTAGTCGACCTATCACAAAGTTAATCTACACTGGCATCTTGGCTTTAAAACATAGTGTCATTTGAGGTTCACCACCATGTCGTTACAAAGTTTTTATGTGTCAAATGCAATGACTGCAAGTGTTACAATTGACCCCAAGCACAGGGCAATGGCAGCAGGTGGATGGGGCAATTGTAACAATGAAGGTTCAAATGTAACAATCTGTTTATTTTCCAAATACAATCAAAATAAAATGTGGAAAGATGTCATCTTGATCAATTGAGATGGAAATACATTAGCATTAAACCGTTGTCATCATCGACATTTATAATGTTATTGCTATAAAATTCGTGTTTTGGTATGCCCAAAATATAATAAAAATACCAAAAACTTTCACCCGAGGGATAATTTTTGCAAAACTGTAACATTGAAACTGGTGAAAATTTGATAAAGCTAGTAAAGAACTAACATTAAACATTCATCATAATTTGATTGTCAATTTCATAAGCAGCAAATTCTTATTTTGCTAATCCCAAATTCTATATGAACAACATTATAAATCTGTATCAAAAGGAAGATTTTCAACTTGATAAACCCTGTAATAAACAAACATTAAACCTTCATAATCATTGATTGACAATTTCATGTAACATCAAGGAAAAATACATAGGGGCAATTGTAAAACAGTGATACAATTGCCCCCGATGGTAGTAGCCATGTTTCATGCCACGTAACATGTTAATAACTTTGGGTTTCTCAAATATTTCTTCTTCAAAATATGTCGTAATACCTCAGAATCACACTATAGACAAGACTTGCATCGCCCCTACAGCATATCACACTATAGATAACACTTACATCGCCCCTACAACACATCACACTATAGATAACTCTTACATCGCCCCTACAACACATCACACTATAGATAACACTTACATCGCCCCTACAACACTTCACACTATAGAAAACACTTACATCGCCCCTACAACATATCACACTATAGATAACACTTACATCGCCCCTACTACATATCACACTATAGAAAACACTTGCATCGCCCCCTCAACTCATCACACTATTGATAACACTTATATCGCCCCTACAACACTTCACACTATAGATAACACTTACATCGCCCCTACAACACTTCACACTATAGATAACACTTTCATCGCCCCTACAACACATCACACTACAGATATCACTTACATCGCCCCTACAACACTTCACACTATAGATATCACTTACATCGCCCCTACAACACATCACACTATAGATAACACTTACATCGCCCCTACAACACTTCACACTACAGATAACACTTACATCGCCCCTACAACACATCACACTATAGATAACACTTACATCGCCCCTACTACATATCACACTATAGAAAACACTTGCATCGCCCCCTCAACTCATCACACTATAGATAACACTTACATCGCCCCTACAACACTTCACACTATAGATAACACTTACATCGCCCCTACAACACTTCACACTATAGATAACACTTACATCGCCCCTACAACACTTCACACTATTGATAACACTTACATCGCCCCTACAACACTTAACACTATAGATAACACTTACATCGCCCCTACAACACTTCACACTATAGATAACACTTTCATCGCCCCTACAACACATCACACTACAGATAACACTTACATCGCCCTTACAACACATCACACTATAGTTTACACTTTCATCGCCCCTACAACATATCACACTGTAGATAACACTTACATCGCCCCTACAACACTTCACACTATAGATAACACTTACATCGCCCCTACAACACTTCACACTATTGATAACACTTACATCGCCCCTACAACACATCACACTATAGATAACACTTACATCGCCCCTACAACACTTCACACTATAGATAAC